GCGACGATGAGGGAGATCTGGGACAAGGTACAGGCGAAGTAGCAAGTCTCTGGATGGTATAGGTGCTGGAACCGCACGGTCAGGATGCACCTTCTGGCGTGGGCCATCCCCGCAGCGTTTCCGACTGTCCACGCGTATTCAGACGAGAAGATCGAGGACTCCGACCTGCCGATTCTCGAGGTCAGGGAACTGGCCAACAGCACGACCATCGCGGAGTCGAGCCGCAGAGTTTCATGGATCATATGGGGCAGGCTACGGACGCAGCGAAGTCTGGATATCTCATCATGGAATCCGTGTTGGGCAATCCCTTCAAGGCTCTCTCCTAGAGATGTTCTCAAGGCCCACGTGTTCGTGCAGCCGTACTGGTTGTACGTCACAGACGCATTGGGGCTACATTGATGGCTACGCTATCTACTACGAGTGCGTTTTCATATTCGGAGGCGAGGCGACGTTTCGGCTGCAAGAAAGGTCGGGGCTGTGGTTGTCAGGCCCATGTCGGTCTCTCCTCCTCCTGCGCTTCTCTCTGAACTCCCTTGTGCGCCGTCGGCGCACAAGGGCCCTTGAGTCATATCGGCGCGCAGGCGACGGGCGCGCCCTGGTCCCCGTTAAAGGGGGAGAACGTGCTCTCTCACACCACAAATCCCCCCACTTGTACTTCGCGTCTCTCTGTATTCCATATAGTTACTCCCGTATATTCCACAGAGGAGGAGGAGGAGGAGGAGGAGGAGGAGGAGGAGGAGGAGGAGGAGGAGGAAGAGGCGGACGAGGCGGACGAGGAGGAGGTGGAAGAGGAGGAGGAGGAAGAAGAAAAGGGGGAGGAACAGGAGGAGGAAGAAGAGGAGGAGGGGGAGGAGGAGGAGGAGGAGGAAAAGGAGGAGGAGGAGGAGAGAGAGGAGGAGGACGATGTCAATCCTTGCCCCATCTCTCCCCTTGTACCTCCAGGAAGCCTCGGGGGACGGTCGGTGGCCTCCAGAGGCCGAGCAGCGCTCCGGAGGTCCCTGGAACAGCTTGTGCTGATAGGTTTCTAGTAGGGTCAACAAGAGAGCATCATGACACTCCAGGGGGGTCCGGGCGGAAGCCGGCAGAAACCGGGAGAATCCGGCGGAGCTCATTCCGTGCGTGCAGGTACGCACGGGAGCCACCTCGGCGCCATCGGAGGTGCGTTCCGTGCGTGCAGGCACGCACGGGAGCCACCTCGGCGCCATCGGAGAAGCGTTCCGTGCGCGCAGGTACGCACGGGGGCCACCTCGGCGCCATCGGAGGTGCGTTCCGTGCGTGCATGTACGCACGGGAACCACCTCGGCGCCATCGGAGAAGCGTTCCGTGCGCGCAGGTACGCACGGGAGCCACCTCGGCGACATCGGAGGTGAGTTCCGTGGGTGCAGGTACGCCCGGGAGCCACCTCGGCGCCATCGGAGGTGCGGCTGAGGCTGAGGCAGGCTGAGGCGGAGGCTGAGGCTGAGGCTGATGCAGGCTGAGGCTGATGCAGGCTGAGGCCGCAGGAATATGCGGGAGCGCAGCAGGCTGAGGCTGAGGCAGGCTGAGGCTGAGGCTGAGGCTGAGGCAGGCTGAGGCCGAAGGGGTATGCGGGAGCGCAGCAGGTTGAGACTGACGCAGGCTGAGGCTGAGACTGAGGCTGATGCAGGCTGAGGCTGAGGCACGCTGAGCTGACTTGTCCTGCGGAGCTCCAGTGTCGCAGAAGATGCATATGTAGCTTCCTCGTCGCATTCCTCAGCCTGCATTCGCGTGGTGCTTCTCAACCTGCACTCGTGTGCAGCCGTGGATAATGAGATACGGTGTTCCTCAGCACGTTTCGTTTGAGGCTGAATCCATTGATAGCAGTGTCTCGTTTTGACTTACATCCGTTGATAGCAGCGTCTCGTTTGGAATGAACACAAAAACAATGTGCTGTTTCGTTGATAGCAGTGCCTCCTTTGAAGAGACATCCACTATTGATAGCAACGTCTCGTTTCCAGACGCATCCGTCGTAGTAAGTAGTAGCGTCTCGTTCGACATTAAATCCATTGATACTCGTGTCTCGTTTGGAGCGGAAGCCATTGATAGCAACGTCTCGTTTGCACCTACACCTCTGCATAGCAGCGTCTCGTTTGGAATGAGCACAAAAAAGAATGTGCTGTCTCGTTGATCGTATTGCCTCCTTTGCAGACACGTCCACTATTGATCGCAGCGTTTCGCTTCCAGCCAAATCCGAATATCAATCTAAAGAAGAATGCTTCCATATATGCTCATACACATGGCTGTTAGGTTGCTTTGCTGGGATAATTGGATTCCAAGGCCCCAATCTATCTTAGGCGCCTTCCAGCACTTCAATGGTTGAGTGGCTTCCCCTCTTTCCTTCTCTTCAAGGGGCGGGCGGAAGCCCAGTCTACTTCCAACGCTTTCCTACTCCATGTTTCTACCCATTTCTTGCGACCGGCGGGTAGGGGGGGGAGGATGTCATGGTGGAGGCCATGATATCTACCCAGATCGGAATGGCCTCCGGCCAGTGCCGCCGATCCGCTGGCGTTTCTGTTTCTTGTGCGTTTCG